ATCAACTATAGTCATAGACTTCAACATGAAAACCTCAGACTGTTACTGTGAAGTGTCTCAGTAACTTCTGCAAGAGGTTATGCAATCAGGCATTAAATAATGTGATTCCCCTGTGTGACCAAATCTAATGACTGAGAGTCCAACCTACTGATGTGTTGAGGGCTCTCAAAATCTGTTGGGAATTATTAAAAGCCACCAGAAGAGAAGTCCCAGCAGACAACTAGAATAAAATGTAACATTTTAACAGACCAGTGCAGAAACAGCAAAGAAGTTAATTTGTGTGTTGAATATATCAGCTTTTTTCCCAGATTTTCAGTTAGAATGCTAATGCAGCATAATCCTGCAACCACAGGAAAGAACATTTTTAGATAAAACATAATCAAGTTAAATTCAGACCAGAAGCTAGTGTTAATAAGGCTCCTCTACAAAACATTTAGTTATATCACTTATTACCACTTGATTAAGAGTTCATTGTTTATTTACATAGCATCCAGGAAGCAGCTTTAAAAAGTTCAGTATTACCAACATAGGAGGCAAGAAGTAGGACAGAGGTATTATAGTAAGAATGTAGAAAAAACCAGTATTTTTTAAAAAAATACGCATTGCTCTGCTTAGTAACATTTTTAAAACTCAGTAGCTCTTCAGTCTGAAAGACAGAACCACCAGCAGAATACAGCTCCTAAATGGTTTATTACTGACAGACAAAAGAGTATTTCTGTTTAGATAAGCACCACCACTTCCTGAAGCTATCAAATATTTATAGGGTCCCTCTTACACAACTGCTTAAGCAGCCTGTTTCTCCACAATATGTGAACTCTCATGGGTCTTCAGCACACAATACTTCCAGCACTATAAACCGAAACTTTTATTCCAAAACATATTGGGTTGAGTTTGAGTGGTGTGGTTACACTCGCTGGCTGTGAAGGACCAGGCACTGTCAGAAGCAATTCTCTAAATCTGGTTCAACTTCTCTGTTACTGATCCTCCACTGCAATTACTGTGCTGCCACATTATGGCAGTGCTTAAGTGACCCCAGTGGGAAGCTGGAAATCACCTAGAACTCCTAGTATATGTCAGATTGTTTCTCTGATCAATAACTCATTTTCCTTGGCAGAACTCTCAGGAATCACTCTAACGTGTTTCCACAGCCATCTGTAACAACTACGAGAAACTTTACGCACTGTAGAGTATTTCCCTTGTTAGAAACACACGATAAAATCCTAACATGGTTAGACACTAGTGCTACATCTCACAAATATTTCAACAGTACATCAGAGAACATGAAAATTCTGGTTACATGTTCAACATTTTTTGAGAGCCAGAGCATGCTTAAAGAAACTTAGAAATCTGCATCTTACTTGGAGCATTTGGATCATGGCGAGGTTTGCAGCTTTGAGAGTCTTTGAGCATATTGTCTTTACTACTGGGTTGAGAGACGTTTTTGAATGGTTTACAGAACGGTTTCATATTAGTTTGAGATAATGCAGTTGGGACTGTGTCATGAGTCCCTATTCCAGCCTGAAAACACCTGCCACTGCTGAAGTCATCTGCTGAAATCACACTCATCACTTCAATTTCTTTTCCTCCAACCATGAGTGTTTGACCTTCATCAAGACTGTCTAGCTCTTTAGCTTTATATCCAGTACCTAAAAGAATATAAAAAATTATGAATTAGGACAACACAGCAAGTACTACCTCCTTATCACCACTAGTCATCTGCAGCAAGGAAAACCAAAACTGTGAAAAGGTATTTGATTCTGAAACATTTCATTGTTACACATAAAGCCTTTCTCTCCCTAACAGAGATTGACATGTGAGTGCTAATAATCAGAATTAGGTAGCAGAATGTGTGAGCCAATACTCAAGCCATCCTCATCCACAATCAAGTCTACTAAATGTCAGATAATCATTTAAGAGAATTTGTAAAAACTAGCCCTATATCATAAAATCTAACAGCTTCCCTTAATGACTATTCTGTGCCCTTTTTCCTTTCTTTCATACCCCAACATGAACTCCTCTAGCACCTCTTGCTATTGATCTAAACAGAAAATTCTACTTTTAAAACAATTCTAAATTAGTTTTTTTACAATTAAAGATTCAGATGCATCTGAAATCTTTACTTCTACACGTGCTCCAAAACATGTATGCTCTGATTATCGTCAGGATTTATCAGTCAGCTCAAAAGTCTGTGGACTCGATTGGATGGGCACTCTCAGAGCAGTTACATATACTATCAGTCTCACAACAAAATACAGCTAGAGCTGCTCCTTTCTTTTTATATAACACTGTAGGAAAGAACGGGGGTTCCTTCTTTCAAACACTTTAGTGGTTTAAGCTCTCACATAAGAAACAGAGGACATATACAAATTATTTTCTTAACTCAGAGAGTTAATTACTTCAGAATTCTTTACCTCAACTGTTGAATTTGTGTGAGTTTGGATAAACAGGTTTCGATCCTCAGTTAGGCCAAAATAAAAAAAAAAAGGGCATGACTATGTAGACCAGCAGTTAAATCACTCAGCTGTGAAAAAAGAGGCAAGGCCTCCCAAGGTTTTACACATATTTTATCCAACAAACACTACATATAAAGACTGCTGGAAGCTGTTTGCAAAGCTCAGGTCTCCCACTTCTAGGAATGCAAAAGGTTGGAAGGTGAAGGTCTGGATTTGAATTCTTTTAAGAGAGAAAAATAACTGAGGTGTTTCACAGTCTAAGCAAGTGCTGAAAAATAGTCTGGCCAAAAGGAAAAGGGACTTACTTTTCTTCCTCTCCTCTAAATGTATTCAAAAAGCACACAGCGAACCTTGTTTGGTTCTTGAAAGAAGAACACTTGCTTTCAGGAAAGAGCTTGAACACAAGAGAATGCACGAGCTTTCCTAAACAAGGCGCCTGGGGAGGGCATTTATGACCTCTCCTTTGCTCTGCATTTTTGCTTTCTGTTATTACCTTTACAAAGCTTCAGGGTGAACATACAGAATACAGGTGCATCCCTCTGCAGATCTGTATATGAAGAGCCTAATTCTAGGACAAGATGGGCTTTAAGGGTACTTGGAAACAGGAAAGGCAAAAAGCAAACCCACACAGCTCAACTGTGGATGCCGTTGCCAGAAATAACTGTTTCTGTAACATACAGCAATTTACAAGAGAGCACCCCCTAAATTCTTTGTAATGCGTTACTAAGAACATTTGCAGAGGAGAACAGCAAGATGTTCTACTGTCTCAAAACCAAGCTATAGGCTGTGCTGGTTTTAGGTTCCCTTGCACCATCTTAGATCCAGCCCTGGTAAGCCTATGGAAAAGACTAAAATTCTTCCTTTGACTTTTTCTTTCCATTTAAAAATAACAATCCTGAATGCTCATACACATTTACTATAGAATTCTGAGTTTTAAATACAATTTTGAAGTAAGTACCACTACTGGACCTTTCCTTCTCACTTGGTGGGCTAAGTAATTGCACAGATTTAAAACTCACACTGCTAAAAATGGTCAATTTATTATTTTCTTAGAATCAATAAGCATTGAAAGCAACTCTGAATGGGCAAGTTAGTCCCAATGACATTGGTATCGTTGTGTTATCTGACACCATCAAACATGGAAAGAAGAGTTCTACCAGCAAAAATCAGAATGTTCATTTTTCCATTGTGTTTACTGCTAATTCAAGAAGACAGGACTTGAAAAAAACACAAGAACAACAGGGTGGTGGCTGATGCATTCCAGGCATTACTCTCTTTCTCTCTGCCTTTTTCAAAAACAAGCAAGTCTGTACATATATTGCTTTGCTATAAATAAATTCAAATTAACTTCTAAGTTACAGACTGATTTGCAAATCAAAAGTGCCTGGCTCACAATGTCATGATTGTAACAAAAGAGCAGAGAAGCCATCTCAGACCTAAAATTTATCAAATTATGTTTTGTAGCAACACTGTTCAATTCTTCTCCCTTACAGAATATCTTTGGCTCCGTTAGCAAAGCTAATTCTTGCTTTGCTTTCCGTAAAAAATTACTGCTTCAAGTTGACTACAGCCTATGGTTTGCAAGTCTTATTTTTAACTCTGATATCAACCCAAACTATGTCTTACAGCAGCAGCTGCTGCTAAAACTACAAGACTAAAAATTGCTACACAGTTGACTTTGGCTGGGTTGGAAAATGTTGCTGTTGCCTGTCTTTCCAACAAAGATAATATTTTTAGCTGTTTGACTGGCTGAAAAGTAGAGATCCAACCTCTGAAATTCCCCATTGCCTCACCGCTGACTGGAATATCTACAAGAAACTTAACAGTATATTTTCCCCTAATTTTAACACCTTCACTTCCGCATTATGTGAGCAACTAAAATCAACTACTCATCCCTCATTTGTCATGTCTGCTGAATTAGGACACTACTGATTTCCAGATCCTCTCTTTGGACTAGCATTTGGTGTTTCTGTGAATAATGTTATTCAGCCTGTTCCAGCCTCCCCCATGCATCTGCCCTATATGTAAGAAATATAAAGCTTTCTTGCAGTCTTTCCAACCCCCGCCCCCCCAAAAAAAAACAAAACAACACACAAAAAAACCCCAACAACAACAAAAAAAACCCACCAAAACACCCCAAACCACAAAACCCCAAACAAAAACCCCAAACAAAAAACCCCACAAAACCAACCAACCAACCACAAACAAAAACCCTACTGTTTTTTCATCCCAATGGTCAACATTGGCATGGAGAACTAAATTATGTGAAGAGCTGTGTCCCTGTTACTCAAAGCACAAAGTGATTTTATGCCAATTGCTCCCTTACATAAGTATGCAAATCTACAGTACCTCTTCCAATGTCTTTGCCTTCCATATCTTTCAGTATTACTGACTTTCCTTTTGTAATAAGAATAGCATCTCCTTCCCACTTTTTGTGCTTTTTCTTTGATGCCTTACACCACACAACACTGAAATATTTCGCAAGGCAGTCAGGTGCTTCCTGAGCTGCTTCTTCCTTTGCACTCCCTGATGTTGCCAAACTGAGTCCATCTAAAAGGGAAATAAAATAACAAAGAGTATCTCAGGTTATCTTGACAAAGCATACAGTTATTTGCATTTCAAAAAAATCAATTACAATCTACACATTTTATCTTATATAAACAAAGCGGTGTATTTCCCGTCTGAGCCACTTATGGTAAATTTGGACTGAGAGAGAACAGTACATCAGGGCTCAACCTGAAAAAAACCCAACACACTAAATTGTTTCAGAAACTATGCACTTCCAGGGAAAACAGGTTACTTGGTGCATTAATACATAAGCTCCTGATTTGACACATATGAGCAGAAAGGTTGGGAAAAAAGCAAAAGGGAAATGACCACAGCAGAAAACAAAAGCAGGGTCCTGGTGAGATGGTGCTGGGCAAGGTTCTGGAAGCAAAGACAGGAACACAGAACTCAAGAAAGGGAACACACGCGGCCAGTAATCAGATCTGGAGATAAAGTCATCCATGTGATGGCCAGTCTCTTCGCGAACGAAGAACCGGGGAAGGTCTTTCCACCTTCCAGCCTGCGCATTGGATTTTTTAGGTGAGACACAGTGTGCGCGGAACTGAGCCCACCCTTTAATCCTGAGGTTCATCTGCCGGGGCCAAGCACGCTTGGACGGTGGCAGCGAGGTCCTCAGGACGTAGATGGATTGCCCTACGGGCTAACGAGCTCCAGTACTAAGTGGCAGAATAACCACAAATGTAGTAATGCAAAATATTATTTCAACTCCTTTCCTTGCACCCTTGAAAAATAAATAATTATGTAAATCTTGAAACAGACCATCTCTTGAGTTCAACTCAAATGTTGTTACTGGGCTTAGATTGATTTGGATTTGTCAGTAGCTACCTTATTACAAGAGGCATGGATGTAAATATTAATAGGAAATATTTAGGTTAATAAGGTTATGAAATCATAATAGAACAGAGAGCAGCTGATTATAATATCAATTAAGAATAAACACATGCTTTCAAGAGTTAGCAATCTGAGATATGTAATGGTAAATAAGTCCCCAGCATTACCTAAAGGAATATCTGTAGCATTCCTTTTCAGCACATGCACAGCTTCAAAGAGAGACTCAGACTAATTTTCATTAAAATACCCTTGTATTCTGGTTAAAAGCTTAAATCGGTTTGCTCCCTTGATTCCATCTGGGATTCAACACTATACAAATCTCTTACAGAAAGGTGCTTATGCCACAGACTAACCTTTCCAAAATTTCCAAGTGTGCTGGCATTTAAAGGAGAAGCAGCAAGAGGAAACTTTGGCTCACAATAATGGTCCAATAGGGAAGCAGATTTACCACTTCTGCATAGGCTACATATTCTCAAAACTGCAAAATACTCATAAGTGACATGCATAAAACACGTGCATTTTTTCAGACTAGCATTTACTAAAAAGGTATTATCTAAATGAAAAACGCTACATTTATTGAATACTATTTTCTTTCCAAAGCACTCTGAAAGTTGTATTGTCTGTATAGAACCCCATGGTAATATAATACAGTGCCTAAAGCAGACAGGATTTTCCATATGTGGATGTTTCTTTAGGGCATTAACTGTAGAGTTTCATGTGGCAGACGCCCCCATGTCCAAAGAGTAACAGAGCAACTACTGAACACTGGTATGCCACAGAAGGATGAGAAAATGGAGCAGAGAAGCCCTTCTCACTATGTTGGGGATTCTTTGTACATGAACCCTGTTAAATGAGCCAAAGAACAATAAAAAATCCTTGCAGTTGTGTAAAAATGTACAAAGGCTCTGTTGGATCTTCAATAATCTTAAGTGATAAGATTCAGAGAAGTGAAAGAGAGCGAGGGGAAGAGGGGAACCTGTACCTTGCTAAAAATACAAAAGACTAATTTCACTCTATATTGAGCTTCTAATTGCAAACTGATTTGACAGATAAATACAAGGTATTTTTTCCCCAGCTGATTCTCTTGGTTTAATCAGCAACTTCTGCCCTCGTATTAAGATTTTAAACTGTTACTGCAAGAACTGGAGATTTCATTGCAGAATTTTCTTCTTCTCTCTCGAAGGATGGCCATTCACAAACAAACCTCTTTGTCTCCTCCACTGACCTCTCGCATGGGTTTGGTGACCCCTGAGATCTGTTTTATGGTCATTGCTCTTTTACTCAGGGAGTCCTGCGTGGTGTTATCTGAACCATCGGCAGATTAACTTTCAAGGCAATAACAAGTCTTCCAACTCTTTTTATCCCTGCTTCATTTAAAATAATTAGAAAACCAATAATTTATAAAAAGAGCTGGAAACTGCTAGCCTTTTGTATTAGTGACTTTTGCTGAAAAGGATTTCCAAAGCAACCTGCCCCTAGTGAGAAGCAAATCAGCACCAGTATTTCATACAATACTACCATGTTCTTATGGGAAAAATGAAAAAAAAAAAAATAGTCTCTGCAATGTTCAGAATTCTTCCCTCAATTTGTCTTCTGAATTATCATAACTTCTGTTTATAGAAATATTCAATAACAATTTGTTTCTATGCTACATAAATTATTTTCCCTTTACCTATAACTACAGTTTAGTTTCAGATAAAAGTGTAAGGGTTTTAAATTAAACATTTTTTGTAAAAATAATTATATCCTCTCAAAATTATCTTCCCTATAATTTTCTAGCATAGAAAACCTAAACCTTAGTTAACCAGCAATGCTGATTAGGTACTTTCATTCAACCTTTTTATCTTATCAGTTTGTTTGTATCAGCATCAACCCTATTTAACTTCAAAGATTTATTCCAGTGCAATAGCAGAATATTCAAATCTGATAAATACAGTGTCATGAGCTTTTCAGGAATTGAAATGAGACTGGTATGTTGCTCACAGGGACTAAGTTCAGTGTTTGATACAGGGATACAGACAGCAGCGGTTTCAGCAGAAACCCCTTGCTCCTCACTGACCTTAGACAGTACCTGAAACAGAGCTGGGTTTGCTGAGACCTTGGAAGACAAACTTCAGTTGTACATTCTGAGCTCTGCTGTTAATCAGTTTGGAGTGAAAATAATAAGTAACAGGAACTGTGCATGCACCACGGTACAAGACCCATCACAGAGTCATGCCCACTCATTTCTCTCCCGACAAGCAAACCGCCTGGCCTGGCAGTGTGGTTTGCTTAACCACGAAGAAACCACAGCAAGCGGCAAAGTCTCTCCTCCTAGAATGAAGGGCTTGGGAACTTTAAAGACATGGCTAACAGGGCTTTGAAAAACTTCCACAAATACAGCTTTCTCTCTTTGCTTGAGAAAGCAAAGGCTTAAGTTTCAAGATATAAACCGCAGCTTAACTGATATGAGGAAAAATTTCAGCAGCCTCAGGAAGGTGATGATTTACAGAAATCGGGACAGGATCCAGGAGAGGGGACGGGGAACATTCCAATTGCAAACTAGTTTAACCAGTTTCTGATGAGCAGGATTTAGAGAAAATGCATCGATTAAGTGCATTAGGATACTCCCAATGCAGCAAGAAAGTAGCTGAATGATGAAAGACTACCAAAGCAACTCAAGAGTGCATTTTCAGGGGACTGTACGCTGCAGCTTTTGCAGCACTGTAAGTACACACACGTTACCACAAGGAGTGAGGGACACGGTCCAGTGAGCCAGGCACTCAACACCTTGGCCTGAGGTGTGGTTTAATGGATGGCTTAACCCCATCCAGCTGCAGGCTGTTGCCAAAGCCTAAGAGCTCACCTTTCCTTCCCTCTCCCCTTCTGCTTCTCATCCACTAGCTGCAGGCAAGCCAGCTCAATGAATCCCTTCAGCAACTACAGTCAATACAGGGAAGGGGTACGCAAGGTTTGGAACAAGGAGACTGGGAGTCTACCCATTCTTCTTTAGCAGCTACTGTTAGGTTGGGGTGATTCTGAAACCAGGGGACCTGTCAAGTTACCCAACAGCTCCATAGTGGAACTTTCCCATTGAAAGCATGTATGGCACGATGGGGAATTTTCCCTCAACTGCTCTGAATCTTCTCAATAAAAAGCAGCGTCACAGTGCAAAAATTACAACTTAAAGAAGACAGCTTTGATTCAAGATGCACTCTATAGCGCTAAGGAGTAATCAGAAAATAGAGGGAGGCAGAGCAAAAAAATTGGACCATTGTAAAAGGAGATTTGGGCTTTGAATGAATCCCAGCCCAAACTTGATGGCAGTGCTCTGCTGCAGCCTCCACAGTCACTCTAAACGTGTGCCATGGATCTCATTCCATAGAGCCAGCACCAGCTCTTTCTTCTGAGCAGACGAAGTAATCAAAAAGTTTCTTCATTAAATTAACCCATAATATTTTGAGAACAGATGTTTACATAGCAGCTAAGTGTCTAATTGCATATGAAACATCTATATGTTAAAGACTCGTAAGATATCCCAGGAATATTTAAAGAAATATGAGAAAGATAGCATCTTCCATTATTTGCAAAGCAACTTCAGTCTAACGATAAAACTTAATGCTAAGCTAACATGTCAACGTATATTAGTGTGCCTCTAAGATGGAAAAATATGTAAAACTCTTCTCACAGCACTTCTGTGAGACTGTTAGAAGTGCAACCAGTAAGAGACAAGCTGACTTGCCCTAAACCCACAGGAATCAATGACACCTAGGATTACATCTCAGAGTCACTTGATTACAACACAGTGCTTTGTGCCCCTTTCAAACACAAAATGTTTATGTAATTAATTAATTAATGTATTAACATATCAGCATTGTTAGCAAACTCTCTTATTTTGACCGATATTTCAAGCAGGAATATTTTCTTTGAAAAACACATTATTGTTTTAAATCCAAAATTATTTTTAAACAAAAATATAAATGATCAAAATATTTTAATATTTTTAAACTTCTGTGTCAAAGTCTCTTTATAATCTGAAAAGCCAATCAAATTAGCCTCTAGATTCCTGAACATGCAATTCTATGGGGATTCCCATTAGTAGATTTTATTTTACATAGCTAATAACTATCAGTCCGTAGTACACCTTCCATGCTAGCTGTCTCAGTTTAGGC